ATCCGGAGATAAAACTGACATGAACAACTATCGGCCAATAAATATTACTCCAGTTATCTCTAGGATTTTGGAAAAAATTATTAGTGACGAACTATCCAACTATTTATTGACTGAACAATTTATTGACGATTCGTAACATGGATTTCTTAAAAATCCATCTTGTATGACATGTCATTTTGACTTCTTCAATTTAGTCTAAAGAAACGTTATTTTAAATCTAACGACTTCACGGCATCCACACAAATAACAATAATTTTTAACCAAATTAAACAGAAACATAGGTTAAATTAAGAGCTACTAGCACTAAGCACTAGCTCGAAAGTGCAAAACCTAACCCACATTTACAATAAACGTGCTAAATCAACTCAAATGGTTGAAATATCATGCATCCTGTATAATAATAATTTTACAAATGACCCGAAAACTAAAGCAGACCTTTTCAGTGGTAACTATAGCAGAACTTTCAATGGTAATTTTGCAAATGACAAAGAATCCATAAATGGCTCAGTCTCTAGATTTATATACATGACTGGTAACTCAATAAAATCTATCTCCTTCACATGTCTGAAAATTAGTAAGGTTATAAATAACCTCAATGTTTCTAAAGGTCACGGAACAGACAGGATTTCATCATTTTTCTACAAATATGGTGGTGCAGATATTCCACTTCTTCTTCTGAAGCTGTTTACTCTCTCTCACTCTATATGGAATCAGGCTGTTATCCTGACCGTTGGAAAACCGCCTACATCATACCACGTTGCAAATCCGGAGATAAGACTGACATAAACGTCTATCGACCAATAAATATTATTCCAGTTACTCTAACATAATGAAAAAAAGTATAATAATAATAATAATAATAATAATATATTCTGAAAATATTATTTACAAAATTCACACCAGTTTACAGGCATGATCAGATTGTTATAAAAATCAACATTTAATGTAGAGAACAAACATGAATTATAAGAAGGTTTTATGTTTGCTGGTTTAGTAATTGATAAATAGTTTAAATATGGCATATGTCACGGCAAGCCAATGCAACACCAGGGAACTTGTCATTTTTTCATCAAGTGGATAGCCTGATGATTGACCAACATTATTCTGTAAGGTTATTACCAGTGCCAGAGCGAGTTATTATTAATTATCTACAACTAGAGAAGGTAAGATTAAAGCAAAGAGCACGGAACAACAAAACAATGATAGCAAGTAAGAGGTTAAACATTTAAAGTTCCTATAATCTCACTTGTGGAGTAAGATACACTTGCAGGCGCTAGAGCATTTAATGCATTTTCAGAGGAGCAAAAAGCATTAATTGACCGAACAAACAATGGGAGAGAGTCTAACATACGGGTAGTTTGGGGTAAATTATTCCATAGTCTAGAAAACTTACAGGCAAAGTAATTCATATAGAGAGAAGACCTAGAATATGTTTGTTTCGCTAAAGACAAGGAGTTACGAATGTCGTAATGTGAAGCCTTAGCATATTGAATCGCCTGACTGGATGTGAAGGAGAGTTTGTTAAGTATTTTGAAAAAGAAGATAAGGTTAAGTTTCAGTCTCCTCATCCATAAAGGGTCAAGCCCCAGTTTACTACACCTCGAATTATATGTCAAGACACTATCAGGTCCAAGAGTACAAATGTAAATTGATGACGAACTATCCAACTATTTATTGATGATTCGCAACATGGATTTCTTAAAAATCGATCTTGTATGACATGTGATTTTGACTTTTTTAATTTAGTTTGTTTTCGGTTATGTTAAGTCACATTCGCTTCTGTTAAACTTGCATCATATCATTATATGAAACATGAGTACGTAGGTATTCATTTCTACCATTGATAAGTGAAAACTGTCGAACGGATTCGCAATGCACAGTCATATCTATTATTGCAATAATTACTTGTGTACCATGACTCATATTCTATCAGTTGAACTGACTGGAATTTCTCTGTTTCCAATCACCAGGTTAAGAGTAAGCTAATTGACGTCCTGTTTTCGTGTGGAAACAAGCACATAGTCAATCAAATACGTGAAGTTGTACGAAGCCGAAGAATTTACAATTTCGACACACAACATCCTTATATGCAGTTGTTCAGCCTAAGTGCAAACGGATTAAGAGTGATTGTGTGAGTGGTTCATTGTCAATGTTATCAATTGTGAGGCTAGTAGACACAGAAGTGGAAGCATCACATTCCACAACAATATTTACATCTTGCTGACGACTGCGCATTTACTTGAAACCTGATGTTTCGCTGTCCTCAAGGACTTCCATCAACAGCCATAATGTATATACATGTGTATGAATTATTTATGAAATCGATGTGTCAATTTCGACCACAGATGATGCTGTCTCATACGACTTCAAAACACCGTGGATCAGTCATTGAGCTCATCGGATCAGTAAGATCATTTATCATTTACATTTCAAAGTGCTAGTACGCATTCGTTTACAATGAACTAACAGGTATATCAGTATTTTTCATTTCTAAACGAGTCACTTAATCGGTTGTTTTGTACAAAAGTTAGATTAACCAAAGTTCAATGAAAATAATAAACACTTATAAGTTAATAAATGTGATTCAAGTCAATTGGTGAATTTCGTTATAAATTTGTGTAGATTAATTTTGGTTGAATAATTTTGGGTGAGTTTGTTCATATCTATCAAAGTGTATGAATTAAGATTCAGTTTAGATTTGTTGTTAAGTAGCAATAATGATGGTTTCATTTCTGTTACATGCTAAATACAGTGTAGATCATTCAGCAAAAAGGATTTCAACTAGTTTCCTATACTAACACAAGGATGATTCTCATGTATTGGTGCCTCCTTCTATTACAAGGTGAAAGATACGAATGAAAACGATGGTAAATATTTGTTAGGATATCATGTGTCAGCAGTGCAACTTGTGGGATTTTCATGTCTACTGGATGGGCGAATTAGCTCTGAAAATGTTTCAAGTTTGTCATTGTGACAGACTTCGAAATAGATTCCTTGTTATGTGCTTCTTTCCATAGATTTTCATTGAAATAAATCCAATTTATCAGGCAATAAAGATAATTATGTGGAAACATAGGGTCATAAATAAAATGAACGGAATATATCACCAAAACAAAGAAATGAACAATGATGGATTTAAGGTCAACAAGAACCGATCAACATGGCGGTGCACAGGACAAGCAGTGAATCACATATGGAGAAATTCAAACACTCCACTTCTGCGCGACGTTTTTGATAATGATGTCGTTCAGAAATACAGTTAAAGCTGCGCGACTAAACAGGGCAGCTCGGCGAAGAGGATTTCAACTAGTTTTCTTATAAACCGAAAGATTAATCTCATGTATTGATTCCTCGTTTTACTAAAAGATGGTGAAAGTGAAAGGTGTGAGTGAATTGGATGTAAGGATACAGTTTGAATGTCTATCAACAACCATATTCGTAATGATTTCAAAAGATTCATTACGCAATTCACAAACTGCCTCAAGCACTCTCCTCAAAATGACAAAATCTTATCCGAAGATCACCGGAAAAGGTAATGGACGACAGTTATGAATGGTAGATTATATGCCAAAAACAAATCTTCAATGTGAATGTTGAACAATGCCGATGGCATGCAAAAAGCCGGATGAATAGTTTTCTTGGTAATCAACGTCACATTAGAAAACGGAGAGAGAGCAGAGGAAATACTTCATCACAATAAGATACATTTGACATTGTTTTCATTACCGAATCTCCAAACACACCAACTTATGAATCACAACATGGTGTTTGAGTGTTATTCGTCTTCATGGCATACTAAGCCACCTGACCTATGAAAGAATAGGTGTGAGACCATCAACAACAGAGTATCGTTCACTGAAATAAAAAACCTCATTCGTTTCAAGAGGATATGATCAGGTGGAAATACTCTATCCTAATGTGCAAAACAGGATCATCAGGATACTTACCAAAGTGTTTCCCATTGAAGATTTGAAGGTGATCACTCTTTGATTGTTAAACATCCACTATTTAACTGCAAATAAATCACAGAGAAAGTAATGACTTAACGTAAGGAACAATATTTACATTGAGCATTATTTATTGGGATGAATATGTTGTTCAATTTTAAGTATCTTCACTGGTGTGAGTGATCTAAGTCATTGACTTTGTTACGTCGTATGCAGTGAGTAGCTAACGTGAATCTAATGGGATCAAATTTCATACAATGAGAAAGGGAAGAAATAAGCATGCGAATGAATATTGAATGATTTGTGTTATCTTTGAAATTGAATATTTCGATAACTGTATTTTGATTTCCTACTTATTTCAGTTGAAGTTGGAATTACTGATTGTGGAAGGTGAATTTACGAAAGCTGAGTTTTCCACAAATTTTTATTACAGATAGTTAAACGATGATGACATTTGCATTCACCGATGTGTCAAAAGAAACCAGTCAGAATAATTCTACTTGCATGTAAGAAATCTATTATTCAGTTTGACCGATTCAGATCTACTCAATTAAGTAGCCCACTTGTTCTCAGTGGTCTCATCCTAACGTAAGTGATACATGTTTAAAATACAGGTATTCACCGATAATCATAAAGCAAATGTTTCGTGTATTATTTCGTATTATGTATCATTCAATGAACTGAATGATACACTTAGCTAAAATATTTGATCCATGTTTGACAAGAATATCATGTTCGAAAAAGATAGGAAAGTAGTTAATTTCTTTCTCAGAACAAACTATTGTCATTTTGTGTTACATCACATCATAGCAAATGATCATACTGAAGTGAATATTACAAGATGTCAAAGGCAATTTACCAATAGATTTTCCACTTATCGATTATTTTGAAAACTTGTTTTGAAAACTATCGAAAATGTTGAATTGAGAAGTTGAGCATCCTGTTCACTCATTTCGTGCATAACAATTATGTAGATCATTTGATTCACGTTGCTTCGGATCTATTGTATCTATGAGTTTAGTATGTTGTACATGTTTTTGTTTTGTATTTCAGATTGATCGGTGCAGTCCTCGGAATAATAATAATACTCGTTAGAAAACTACATTCTTCATCTGTACTGAACATTATCTTCATGGTTATAACCGTCAGTTCAATATAATTTTAAAATTACATTCATGATATTTCCATACACTTATCGATTGAATTTAGTGTAGATTAGTTCTCTGGATAATAACAAAGTTAACATGTTAGTTTGTTGACGGCGATCGAGATAGAAGAATTCTTGAATGTTGACTTGAACAGAAGGTTTCCCATGTTGTATGTTGTGATGTCATAATGTGTAGATATCCAGTTTCTATATTTTAACTGAATTCACATATTTGTCGGTGCATATAACTCAGATCATTGGTCATCAGTTTGGATAATGAGCTATTACTTGAGTGACACTTGGTGAAACATTAAGCAGTATCTGTACATGTTATGGATAATTCCGAACTATGTACACGTGAACACACATAATACGTGTGATTTGCACATTCATCCACGTTTGGTGTTTTGAACACTTGTAAGATGTGGTATGAGTTGTCGACACAGAACAGCTAAACAAATTTGATGTGAGTCATTTTAATTTATGCAATCACCTACACACTTTGTTTGTCTTAGTACTTGTGTTTTTAATGATGCACAAGTCATCATTTAGTGTTTCAAGTGTCCGTCTTATATTACTGGCTGTCGTAGTTTTTCGTTCATCCAAGTTAACATAATAATCCACACTGTTTAGGTGATAAACCTAACATAATCTAGTCATGTGTGTTAAGTGAGCGAATCAGCTTTGAAAATATATCAAGTTTGTCAATATGATAGACTTAAATAAAGAACCCTGGGTATGTGCTTCTATCCATATATATTGATTTTTAATCAATCAAATCAACCGAATGCAATGCCTTGAAGATTAGTCTCTCATTATTTATTCAGTTGTTGACCCGTTCAATTTCTGAACTATTGGTAAATCGTCATATGATTTCCTCTATTCAGGTGATAATTTTGTTTGTTGGTGTTGCGTCATTATTGTTACCTGCACAATGGTATGAAATAATGATTTCTGAAATTTTGGCTGGCATGTTCTACGTCTTAGCCTATTTTTTGGGCTTAAATCTACAACTTTCGAAACTAAAGTGGAAAATAATCTTGTTCACGATGTATTGTGTATTTGCAGTAGCTGGATTCATTCTTTGTGTTCTAGGTGTGACATTGAGAATGGTAAGTGTGTCTTATCACAAATTTTCACAAACCAGTAGTGAGTAGTGTTTATTATTGTTTTGCCAATGATTCACGCGAATAGTAACACTGTTCCGAACAAAATACACCGCTCGTAATCATCAGCGAAATATTTCCAAACAGAAATATTCTACATTGCTTTATAGAATTACATTTTCAATTCATATTTCATTGAGAAATATTTGGAACAAATCTTCCTTTTCTAATACAATGTTCATCTCTCTTGGCTATTTATTCACACCATTTCGTGGTCATTGCGAATACAACAGTGTTTTCCACAATGATGGATTCATCACGTAAAATTTATGAAACGGAACAAGTAGCTTTTACACATGAATTGAAACTAGTAAGACTCTGTATTCTGTTGCGGTGTTTACACTGTATATTCTCGATACAAAGCATCATGAAACGAAGTTATCCTTTGAGAAATCGAGTCTCAGCATGATTTATTATGATTGTAAATTACAATGGTAATCACAGCGAAACCGGAATTTACACCTTACATTTTGATGGAGTTTTGTTCTCTGAGCTGCATGGTACATATTCAAGCAACGAGTTAGCATTAGTGCAATCACATGCATCAATGTTTCATCATACAATGATTTCAGAAACTAATTCGTTATTTAGACAACTGTCAAGCATGAGACAGGATAGATGCATAATGACAAAATTCAGAATGACATACCGACTGAACTCCTACATGAAGTGGTACATATCAGTTTAAAATAAGCAGTGTTAATTATCAGAGTCATACTGTGGCCTCACTGATAATTGTATAGATACATGATGAATTGAAGTGAATTGTTTTCTTTTCTTTTGTTTCAGCTTGTTTTACAAGGTTTAGCCTGGATTTGTTGTTGCTGCCTAATGTTTATTGTAAGTTATGAGTAAATAATCGAACCTTAATTCTAATAACTCTTCGTCGAATGTTATGCACACAAATATATCGTTGTGTTGAAACAAGGAGTATGTAGTATCAGTATTTTCTATGCAAAACATTCACAAGAATTCATCATAAAATATTTTGAAGAAGACACTGCCATACATGAAGATGACAGGTTGAAAGTGAGACGTTGAGTGGTGAAGTATTTCTCGCTCTATTTTTTCTTTGGTTCAGTGACTCGATTAACAAGAACTTCTATCATTTTGTTAGAGTTAAGTTCTCTGAGCTGCCTTCTTTAGTCGTGCAGCTTTAATAGTCCTTCTGAACGATATCATTAGCAAAAACGTCGGGTAGAAGTGGAGTGTTTGAATTTCTCAATATGTGATTCACAGCTTGTCCTGTTCACCTCAATGTTGAATGGTTCTTGTTGACCTTAAATCTATCATTGTTCATTTCTTTGTTTTGGTTATATATCCCGTTCATTTTATTTTTGTTCCTATGTTTCTACATAATTTTCCTGATTGCTTGATAAATTGGATTGATTTCAATGTGATTAGTTGATTGGTTCTTATTGACCTTAAATCTCTCTTTACCTTGTTTTGGTTATATATATATTCATAAGATTACCTATGTGACATTGAGTTCATAATAGAACAAGAATGGAAAGACAAACTATTACTCTTGAATATAATAATCACCAGAACCGACACACGTAAATTGGAGACTCAAGTGTTCAGGAAGACGTCACACACGGATTAAATTCTCAACTACAAAAGCAACAATTCAAGAGCTCACAAAGTCAACTGCATACAAACGTTTTCCAAGAAAGCGAGGACACATTGCAACTCAATTACAACATGGAGAAATGAAGAAAAATACCTGAAAACATTTCTACAAAAGAACGGGTATTCAATCAATTCCATCAAAAAATACCAGTCACACCCATCATCAGAAACGAAGTCGAGTATGGAACTCAGGAAAAGGATCATCTTACCATTCATAAAAGGTATATCGGAAACGACTACGAGACTGCTGAAAACCTTCGGAATATATGTTGCTCACAAATCAGCAAAAACATCTATTCAAACTTATGCAAAGCAAAGGATGAAATGGCAAAAGAGGCCAAAACAAACATCATCTACAAGAGAAATTGTACAAACTGCGACAAACACCACATCCAAATAACCGGATGCACTCTTCATGTTCTCTTGCATGAACACCAATTCGTAGTCAAACGCCATAACATGTCTTCACTCATATCAATATACGTTGATTACTAGGGACAGACATTCGACTGACAAAATGTGAAGATTTCGCACAGAGGCAATTCGTAAAACACCAGAAATAATTTAAAAGCTTGGCACGCAGGTCAATCAGCAATAAACAAGCTCATTGAAATCAATGCAATTTATCAAGCAATCAGGAAAATTATGTGGAAACATAGGGTCATAAATAAAATGAACGGAATATATAACCAAAACAAAGAAATGAACAATGATAGATTTAAGGTCAACAAGAACCATTCAACATTGAGGTGAACAGGACAAGCTGTGAATCACATATTGAGAAATTCAAACACTCCACTTCTACCCGACGTTTTTGCTGATGATGTCGTTCAGAAGGACTATTAAAGCTGCACGACTAAAGAAGACAGCTCAGAGAACAAATGTCCATCAAAATCGCACACCACAACTACAAATCTTCTCCACCATTTCAAGATGTTCTGTTATACAAATGATTATCTGTCAATATTCGATAGATAAAATCATGAAGTACTTAACGTTCATTTGTTAATTATGAGTATTGCCAAATTTCCAAGTCCATGAACCCACATCTGTATATGCTCATTATTTCACTGATACATATGTTGATATGGATGCATTTACATTGAAGTGACCATCTATGTTTTGATAATTACAGGTGAGTCTGTTCACAGCATACTATCTGAATGAGCTCAACAAACAAGGAGACTGCTCTATATCATACTTACTTTTCGTATGGATTTATGAATGTATTGCATTTGTCATCATAATACAAATTGTTTTAAATTCATTCATCGATTGTCATTCGAACGATAGTAATTCCAACATGACAATGATTGCGCAGGATTAGTGGATGAATTTATATTGAATATCTTTATAAGTTTACAAATATTCACAGAATTTCATTTGGAGTATTCTGAAGATTTGTGTTAACTGAAATGTTATTGATAATACATGTTCTGTTAAAAAGATTTTCGCCTGTTACATTCAATTTCGGCATTGAACTTATTCGTTTAAAATACGAACAGACATTGAAACACATTTCGATTATACTTGAAACTAGAAAATACCTAATTGCCTGGAATGATTTGTTGGACAATCGTATTTTCCAACTACATACGTGTCGTCACATTGACTAATAATTTGTTCTTTAGTGATTTATTATGTTAGTCTGACACTATTTTAGGCGGATGATTTCCATTGACCCACTAGACAACATCAACCGCGATAATTCCATCGATAGGTAAACAAAGAAAGTTTGCCCACCTGTTCACATGACGCTTTTATATGATAAATTGTAACTATTTCAGTAAGTTAAGTGACGACTAAATGACCTGATTGCTACCTTTCTGAAAACCTGCTATTGATTCATGTATTTGTTCTTTCTAACATGTCGACAAACTCGGTCTACTTCACTTGATATAAATTAATACCGATCGTGGAGTTCGATAGTGATTGATGTCCATACAGACAAAGACGAAGAGTGAGTTGTTTGTTCGTTGTATTGCTTCTTGCAATGGTACAATTCATTTAAGTAAATTGACTCTATCTCTATTTTGTTGGTCATGAACTTATTCAAACTGAATAGATCGATTAAAAAGAGTTTGTTAGTTGACATATTGAGTCAGTGTAAAGTCATTTCCTAGGATAAGCAGCCGTCAGTTAGTCTACACATTCCATTTCGTGTAAGTCACTGAGTTCCAAATCAGTTGTTGATGGTATTTGGGAAAATCTGTCCTGTTCATATAAAGAAAATCCTACTGAATAAATATTAAACAAATTACTCAGCTTCCAACAATTACTCGATATGCAAACGAACTGTGTTTAAAGTGAAAATGTGCCAAGATTCCCTCAAAACATTATTCTTTGTGGCGATCGAGAGCAGAATTCAAAGAATTAACATGGACTGTTAAACTCCGCCTTAAGCTCTTCTAGAGTTTCTGTCGGGTTGAGAATGCGGTTGGCTTCACAATCTCAGGGAGTTGCTCTATTGCTGTACAGAGAAGCACGAAATGCACTTGCAGGATGGGAATCTCATGGATCCAGGATAGCCAAAGCATCATTCAAAACAAAGAAAGAGGGGATCACAATGAATGTTATCCAATGTTATGCACACAATATTGGTGGCAACGACGACGATAAAGATCAGTTTTATGAAAATCTGCATTCAATTATGGTCAAATACTCACGAAAGGACCTCAACATTCTGATTGGAGATCTGATTGGTAGAGTTGGAGTGGATAACATATGATATGAAGATATAATGGAACGACATGGAGTAGAAGAAGAAATGAAAACAGGGAGAGAGTTGTAAATCTATGTGCATTCAACAAATCGGCTATATGCGGCACAATATTCCAACACAAACGCATACACATAACTACATGAGTATCGCCGGAAAACACCACGGAGAACCAGATAAATCACATTAGTATCAACAAAAAATTTCGAAGGACACTAGAAGATGTGAGCATCAGGAGAGGAGGCGACCTAGCTTCAGGTCACCACCTGGTTGTGATCAAGATGAGACTGAAGCTACAGAAGTACTGGACAACTGGACAAATAGCACTACGAAAATTCAATACAGCCTTCCCTCAAGATACGGGCATGCTCAAGAAATTCAAGATAATTCTAACAACGGGTTCCAAGCTTCACGGCATCTACGGGAAGATCAAGAAACAACATTTGAAGGCAAGTGGCGAGGAGTCAAAGAAACACTACTTTCAACGTTTCGGGAGGTTTCGGGTCATAAGAAGCATCATCATAAGGAATGGAACTCTATGAAAACCTGGACAAGATTCAAGAAAGGATGAACAAGAAAATATCAATTAGCAACAGTCGAACATGAGCAGAGTTAATCGAAGCACAAGCAAAGTTCGCGGGAGCTAAGGAGCACTGAATCCGACAATCCAGAAATACATGCAAGAACCATCAACGACGGCGGGAACAGCTGAAAGGGATGGGAATATTATGCAACTAAATGATAGAACGAAGAAACAGTAAAGATACAGTAAAGGACATTGAATCAGCACTCAGACCTCCCTATTGATGTCACTTCACCAACGATCAAAGTCAAGCCATCAGTCAAAGCACGAACAGGAAAGCAGCAAGACTTGATAATATACCAGCTGAAGCACTGAAGTCAGAAATTGAAGTTTCTGCAAACATGATTCATCTTCTATTCAAGAAGATTTGGGAAGATGAAAAAATTCCGATGGAGTGTAAAGAAGCATAACTCGTCGAAATACCAATGGAAGGAGATTCCAACAAATTTAAAAATTACAGGGATCGGTCGTTCACAGACCAAAATGCCACACCACGTATCATGATCGAACAGTCAGTTCAGTGGAATTTGTCACATAACGTCAAGGTCATTGACTATGAGAAGGCGTTTGCAGTGCGGATAGGAGAATTTTATGGAAATTTCTTCGACACTATGGAGTTCTTGAGACTATCGTCAACATTATTTGGAACTCATACGACGGACTATAGTGCAAAGTTCTGCATGGAGGACAGATGACAGATGCAATCCCAGTAAGTACCGAAGTCAGACAAATCTGTCTACTGTCCTCTTTCCTCTTTCTTTTGGTGATTGACTGGACAGTGAAAACCTCGACCTCTGAATGGAAGTACGCAATAAAATAGACATCTTAAAATCAATAAGATGATTTGGACATTGCAGATGATCGAGCTATCCTATACACACCAAGAAATAGAGACGAAGACAAACAATGTAGCAGCAGTCTCTGCATTAGTGGCACTAAACATTCACAAAAGAGAAATTAAAATCCTCAAATGCAATACGAAGAACACTCACGTACCTGGGAAGCATCATTGATAAATATTGTGGATCGGATGCAGATGTAACGGCGAGGATTGAAAGCAAGGTCAGCGTTTCTACAGCTGAAGAAAATATGGAACTCAAAATAACTGTCAGCTTGTTTCACAGTTAGAATCTTCAAAGCGAAGTCAGGTCTACTGTATGGAGCTGAAATGTTAAGAACTTCAACTTGAAGAGCGAAATGTGAATATAAAGATAACACAGTTACTTACTAGTTACGCAGTAAAAATATAAATATTTATTTAATAAGAGTCCATAATTAATTTCTAGCGGTTACCAATTGTTTGTTTACCACAGTTTTACTTATTATTTTGAAGAATCCAAGAACGGTCAATGGTCAATAATTTTAAAAATTACAGAGACACCAATTTCTTGTCAGCATCAGGAGGATTTTTCAACAGAGTTTTGCTGAACCGTATGAAAGACGCAGTGGATGCCTGACTTTGAGATAAACATGCTGGATTCCGTAGGGATCGGTCGTTCACAGACCAAAATGCCACACCACGTATCATGATCGAACAATCAGTTCAATGGAATTTGTCACATAACGTCAAGGTCATTGACTATGAGTAGGCGTTTGCAGTGCGGAAAGGGGAATATTATGGAAATGATTCGCAAACGTCTTGGCATATAAATATAACATATAACATTGACCTGTGCAAAGGCTTCTGTGAAGCAAAGAAATATAAAATGAACTTTTCCTTTGAATTCAAGTGTGGTTGTACATTGCAGTCGACTTTCTAGCCATAATGAAGTCACCAATTCTCAAACTTTGTTGTTGGGGTGAAAAATGTGTGAACAACAAGTGGTCACGTTGATGGTCGTTTATCAACGACTTCTAAAAGTTTCAGAGTATTGAGATACGAAGTGCTACTGACTGGTAGTCGACTAATTTTTTGATTACAATCACACTGTTTTTGATGATTATGTTGTCCAAAATATTTGTGAGCTTCTATTGGAGACCAATAATTAAAAACCACCCATCGATTTGTTGATATTTTACATTTCACTTCAAGAAAATATCTACTTCACCATCAGCTATGATGAATAAGTATATGTCTCTTAATTAAATTGAATCATACCTCATCCCTAATTTCACCGATCATAAAAGCATACACTAGAAAACGAATAAGGTGAGTACTCAAGTGGAAATCATGTATAACTCTTAATATTGGTAATCAAATAATCGAACTCAAATGAGTAATCATGTGTCACTGTTTCTTTAACTTCATTGTCTTTCAATTCTATTCCCAATACACGTCTGCTAAATCTTACACAAGCATAAGTGTGAATTGACATCAAGATTAATTCAATTCTCTTCTAAAACACAAAGTTATCTAGTAACTGTTCAATGACGCATTTGCAATGTTTTTCGAACAAATGTGTTCATATCAATATAAACCTTTTCTAATCACTTAAGAATCTTGTGATTACCATCACATGACTACATTTCAAGTGTTTGTTTAACTGCTGTGAATAGCAAATAAAAATATATATAAACTTGTATAAATCTGTGGCAATAATTTGACGGATAGGTAATATTCATTTGCTCCCTTAGTTTGTTTCATCAAAGAATGATGTGCAATTTCTGCAGTTCTATTTAGAAGTCATCATTAGAGGAGTTCAATTATGTCAACAATTAGCGTTTTATAGAGCAGTGCAGTGCGAAACCGTGAATTGACTGAAGTTTGACGTCAACTGCATCTAGTATTGAGTGTTATGTATTTACGTCCAATTAATTATATGAAGTGATGCGATAGACAATTAGAGACACCGACTTATACAACAAGAAAAATGATTCATAAACATATACGAGCAGTCAAGATTTCATAGTTGTCAATCGGGATAATAGCTTCTCTCTTAACTCAGTCCGTTCAGTCCCAAATGCCTGTATCAGCCTGCGCTATACGAATCATTTATTTCATACATAACGTGTTTATATGCAAACAAACAAGACTGCAACATTGAGTAACATAAGATAACAATAATACGAGATGAAGCTGAAAGAG